TAAATATCTTTATTGGAATCCTTGTCGTCCTCGTCATCCTGCCTGCCTCCACACCTTGTCCGTGACAGAATAACCGACCCAAAAGTAAAGTATAGTTTTAGCCCGTATAATCATTAGTTAATTACCCTCATTGTGTTCACCTGTCTGCCCCTCGTTATCTGCCCTATAAGTTCCTGTCTCTTGTAATCTAGTATTGTCGGTTATTGTGAATGTTACCCCGAGTGTGTGTGTCTCATCTTCCTGAATCTGCCTTGTTGTGTCTACATTAAATATCTTTATTGGAATCCTTGTCGTCCTCGTCATCCTGCCTGCCTCCACACCTTGTCCGTGACAGGTATACTATATAAAACATACTTTATTGTAAGTATGTTCTTAATGTAGTACCTACTCAGTATGCAAATGCATACTGCGAATACAGCAACAGACTTGTAAGTATCAAAGATGGCAATGTACAGTACATCTCATTGTAAAGTCTCATCACAGTTGATGCAACAATATTTTATAAAGAAGTGCAATGAAGGTACAAGTTCATTTGTCAAATCATCAGTGTACAGCACTGATTCACAACCTTTTTGACTCCAAGGCCCCCCAGGGTCAATAACAATATTCAAAGGTTTATTTTAAACGACTAAGGATAAGAATTTTTCTAAAAACATTTTACTCAACTTCTACCTGATCAAATATTTTAGAGCTTGCCGTAACTACAGAAATGTATATCCATTACAATAATGCTTACAGCATTTTAAGATTCTATTCATTTATTTGACTTTTTCCAGCTCTAGAAATCACACTTTTAAAATCAAGTAAAATTTTAAGTTTTTAACCATTTTAAGTAATCTTGAAGCCCTCTTGGAAGTTTACTGAGGCTCTCTAGTGGGCCCTGGGCCCCTGGTTGAGAACCACTGGTGTACAGCACAGCAGTTGGGACATTTTTTTTTTTCACCTCTGCTCTAGCTTGTTCCTAGTCTAGCTTTCTAATAAAGCTGGCTATAAATATACACTATAAATATTGTTGGCCCTGTGACAGTCGCTTGTTTCTCTATTGTATGTCACTTTGTATAAAAGCATACATAATAATACAATATCATAAAGCCAGCACTGGCCTTCTCAACCAGGATTTTGGATAAAAGCTAAAGGGACTTTTGAATGTACGTATACATTTATAACTGGATTTATTTTGGTTAAGGGCAGCCCTTGTTCACTAAGACGTGTGCTGTACTGCTTCACTGTCTGCACATTTCAGCAGAGTCAAGGCATTCTTTCAAATAACTTTCAGCATAGTTTCATGGTCTGAAGAAAATTAAGCGACCAACCAATATTCCATTTTATGAGCAACCACAGTTTTGCATGTTTCTTTTTTCTCCTCTCAAAACTACTGATGCGTTTTGGATGTCAAGTACTAAGACTGGCAAAACTGCTGAAATACTATTTGTCCTCTGGAGTGTCTGAAGGCTTGGCAAAGACTTCAGCAAACACTGCATCACCACGGTGCAGGCCTGTGTGTATGACAGTTCTCACAAAGCAAAGAATAGAATAGAATAGAATAGAATAGGTATGGCCCAGCTTTAGACCAAACTAAATTTGAAATAATTAGATAAAACAGGGTTTTATCAGGGTTTAACAGGGTTTTTTATTTTTATTTTTTTTATTTTTTTGGATGACAAAGATTTCAAAATATGATGATCCTTTGTGTGAGACCCCAACCGAAAATATAAAGGCAATTATACATTTCATGTAAAAAATAAATAAATAAATAAAAAATACACTGTAATATTGTAGTATGCAATATGCAAAGAAAAGAATATTAAGCAAATTATTAAAATATTATCTGGAAAATATATACTTTGTATTAAGCTGAAAGTGTATTTTTTTCCACGCACTATATATATATATTTATATATATATATTGCATTAAACATATTTAATAACGTTTTTTTTTTTAACAGCCCAAAAAAATCTTTTTGTAAAACTTTGTAAAATAAATTTTTGTACTGCCCTTCTAGCACCCTCCTGTGGATCCTAGACCCCAGTTTAAAAATCTGTGAATTAAAAGACCTCAAAATAATGAAGCACATCTCATTAAAATTACAATGAGAAAAAAAAATTGATGAACATTTCTCTCCTCTTCATCTTTTTTCTCTCCCTCCTCAGAGCAACAGGACAGGACTGTGGCTCATAGAAAGTATCTACAAAATTTAATTTAAAACTGATTGAATACACATTTTCATCTCTCTCTTTCTCTTCCTTTCACTTATTCTTTTTCTTTCTGTTCTTGACATTTGGCTATGAGGGGAAATGCACTGGGAATCTTTTAACAGCCCTATTTACTTTGGCTCTGGTGAGAGAGAAAATTTGGGTTTTTGATCATCTGGTTTGAATGTTTTCTAATAAAATAAATATCTTTGTTTGCAAAAAAAAAAAAAGAAGAAGAAACCTCTATGTTTTGGCAGGAGAAGGGAGAAAGTACTACATTTAGAGTGTGATATAAACAAAAAGTTATATCAAAGCATTCTGCTTAGTCCTGTAATGTAACTAATTGCTTTCAAAAGACAGTAACTAGTAATATATAATGTATTACATTTTGGAAGTAACTTGCCCAACACTGGTCCTAGCCTGATCTAAGATCTAGAACCAAAGCCTTAAATCTGTGGAGATCATGTGACCAAGACCAAATTGGACCATGCTAAGACCTGTACGACATTCAAGAGTAAATGGGCCTAAAAAGATGACAGAACACACAAAACTCCTATATGCTTGCTTCTCTTTTCTTGGTCACTCATTCACGATCCTGACTTTTTTTCTTTTAGAAATGAAATGAAGGACAGTTTGAATCCATTAAGTCTCCTTGATCTTAACACAAAACAGGATTCCTCTCTTGGAGGAACTGTGTTCTGCAACCAATCATAAACGTAACAAAGATAACTTTGCAGAGTCAAAGACAAATATGAGAGCAAATTAACTTTGCCTCATAAATAAAAAATAAAATTAAATAAAAAATTAACAATTGTCTCTCACCCAAAGTTCCTACAGTCAGTCACATGCACAAATCCTTCCTTGAGTTTCCACAAACATCTGCGTAAGCACTCACAAACCAGCTAGGTCTCCTACTAGCATATATCTGCCTGATTAGAGGCATCCGTTAACATAATTAGACTGGTGAAAATATCATTTGAAAAAACTCTTTATGGTCAGAAGTATGTGGATTCCCAAACACCACACCCTTATTTGAGCATTTAATTTCAAAACCATGGGTATTGACAGGGAGTTGCAGCTATAACAGTTTTCAATCTTCTGAAAAGGCCTGGAACATGCTGTGGGGATGTTGTGGGATATGGAAGATGTTGTAACATGGCTGCAGGGATTTACTCTCATTCAGATACAAGAGCATAAGGGAGGTTAAGCGCTGATATTGGGCAATGGGGATTGACTCGAAGTTGGCGTTCCAATTCATCCCAAAACAAGTTCAGGTCTGGACTTTGTGTAGGCCAGTCAGCTTTTTCCACAACGGACTCAGTAAACCATTTCTATATTGACTACATTAATAATAATAATGAAAAATGACAAAAGTACACAAAAAATACTAAAACTTAAAACTAAAATTAAAATTTAATTTAATATAAAACTTAAATGAAACTAATAAAAGTATGCTAAAAAAAATTATAATATAGTATAATTAACTATATTAGTGTATAAACAACACTGTGTGGAACACACAAAAAAATATATATTTTGAAGAAAAGTTTTTGTCCATTTAGTGAAATTCAGAGGGGTCCAAAACAACATGTATTCCCTATTTTTCAAAAATATCTTCTTTTGTTTTCCAAAAAAGAAAGTAAGGCTTGCAGGTTTGAAACAAAATGAAGAACAGAAAATACAGAATTTTTCAGTACTGAAATATCATTGTTTCGAAGAAAAAAAAAAGCGTATTCTTAAAATTAAATTAAATTAACTGAGAAGGAAAATTGCTTAGTGAAATTGAGACATGTTTTTAAAAAATGCATCTTGACGTCTTTTTTTTCTTTTTTAAATAAATCTTCATGTAAATGTCGGACCTTGGTCTGGGTGATGTCACTTGTCCTTGCATTATCATACACCAAGAACATGCAACACAAAACACAAGCCACATCGCATTTGTATGAATTTACCACAGTCATTCTAACTGAATAAATATATATATATATATTGCACATTACATTCTTGCTTATTGAGGGCAAAAAACCTTGCACTAAACCCATAGCTTTATCACTCAAAGAGCTCTAGTCAGGATGAAATGAAGGTTATGGAGAAATGGAAAGAGATGGTGAAAGGGATGATGAGGTCTTACATACGTACATGGAGGCTGGACTGAGAAGGCGAGATGTTAATAATGGCAGAGCTGGTGCAGTCTGCCTGTTATAAACCAGAAGCATTGGTTAGTTGGTTAACGTTAGTAAATATCTGTAATTCGCTAATCAACACACTATCAAAAAATGCAATCAAAGTAAGAGGAACAATCATGGTGACAAAAAAGCAGAGTCTTTCAATTTCGCTATTCAAAGTCTAAAGCAAAAGAGTGTTTTTATGGTTTATATTGCAAATGTTTGAGGTTGTAATTGGAATGCATAATATTAAATATCCTTATCAAGAAAAATCTAACTGATGTACACGTTATACAACACTATACTAGTCAACAGTTCAATCCTGGCCCTAGTTATAATTTTTTGTGGCATAATGAGGAATGACATGAATGCAGAGCAACACATTAGATCAGCTGGATATGTGGATGAAGTAAGATGACAGCATATATTACAGAGAAAACAGTGGATCGGGTCGCCAGGTCTGGAACTCCCATACTAAGATCCAAGAGAGAGCGTCAATGAGGTATAGATGGCAACCCTACCGAATGCTCGGACTCGAATCTGTGGTTTGTGAACTCAGACAGGACTGTTTATAGCTGATAGATAAATCATTATCAAGGTTAGGACTATGAAATGTGATTCCCCGATGAAGAATGACATCCCAAGATTGTTGTTTTTCCTGGATGGGACTCAAACCCATAGGAAAGAAAAATCAAAAGTGAGATCTTTTTAACATCTCAAATATTTCTTCTAGACAGAAATGAGGTTACTTTAAGATCGAATGGAGATTTTTGCTTGAGTCTCCTGAGACAAAAACTCTAACAATCTCACAATGGTCTCCTTTAAAGCTTTAGAAGAGATCTCAACAACATCACACAATGTGGTTCAGATATTTCTCCATAGCTAGACATTCTGGATCTCTCACATTTGTCTCTTTTAAAGCCTTAGAAGAGATCTCAACATCTTTACACACTGTGCTCAGATATTTATCCTTAGCTAGAGACTCTGGATCTCTCACATTTGTCTCTTTTAAAGCTTTAGAATAGATCTCAATAACATCACACACTGTTTTCAGATATTTCTCCTTTGCTAGAGACTCTGGATCTCTTACATTTGTCTCCTCCAAAGTTTCAAACAAGATCTCAACAGTGTCACACACTGTGCTCAGATATTTCTCCTAGTCTAAAGACTCTGGTGGTCTCACACTTGTCTCCTCCAAAGTTTCAAACAAGATCTCAACAGCATCGCACACTGTGCTCAGAT